TTTAACGACAGATTTCTCCTCGTTAACTCGTTAGAGTTAGCACTTCGTTATATACATGTATATATTATGGCTTTTACAGTAGTTGATGTTCGGTCATGATGGAAGGAGAAGTGGAGCTACGGGAGAGATGAGCTGATTATTCGCAGGGTGAGGCCCAGGGTGACATCGGATGGACGAGTATGATGATTACGAAGACGGTTGAACATGATAATTTTCAAAGGTAACTCAAACTAATTTGGCAATGAAATAATATTTTACTGAAGTACAAAAGAAATCTAGTAATGAATAGAAGAAGTATGGTTTTCCATGTTGACCTCTTACATGCATGGACACCTTGCCCTTGGTATGGGGATACTCATGTACATGTACATGTATTTTCTTGCACTTATGGCCACTTGCAACTTGCAAGTACGAAAAAGGCACAATTTCCCAAACTTTGAGGCTCCATAAGTACAACAAAGTGAAATATTATCCCCGGGTGCCAAAGCATAATACAGTTGAACATCGATTATCCGACCACCTCTGGGCAGACAACTGTCAGGCGGTGTTCAGATAAGGCAAATGTTCCGGATAAGAAAAAACTGTCACTCACACACTTTCAGTGGTTATTACTAGCCGCACGACCTTTTTACTTTTTACTTTTCAAAATTTTCGTATTTTTTTAATGGCTCACTACATGCACAGTGCGTACTCTACGGCACGTGCGCCCAAAAAAACTGTTACGGATAATCGAATGGTCGGATAGTCGATGTCCGGATAATCGATGTTCAACTGTATGGGGATTTCACGAGCATAATGCGAGAATCCATGAAAGCATAATTCCTTGATTTCGCGAGCATAATCCGCCGGAGCCTACCCTCAGTTCCCTGTACTGGTCATTCATCAATCTTCGGACAACAACAACAACAACAACAACAACAACAACAACAACAACAACAACAACAACAACAATGTGGTCTGAAGAATGACAAACGTAAACAGCAAACAACTCTGACTCTTGTTCCATTGCTGTCTTGTGTCATTCGGCTCCGGACTCGCGGCATCGAGCACTTTTTGCAGTGGGAGCGTGCACATAATCTTTTCTTCTTTTTTTTCTACTTGGCAAGTCTGGTGTCAACGATTTTAACTCATTGGAAGGCTTTGGGCAACATGCCCGCTTGCAATGATAGCATGACATGTACTTCATTTTCATCCAAAAACAAGATCCAAAGGACAGCAGCTTAACCACATACATGTATATGTAAAGTGGTCGCAGCACAATTTTTTTCAAATGCAACGAAACCTTATAAAAAAGAGGAAGGGATTTGAGTTTAAAAGTACATATCCAGCAGGAATGTGCTTTCCAATATACACTAGCAGGTCAAAGCATGTCATAGGCATGGTATGTATTAGGTACATGCATTGAAGGCGCCAGTCGTTTCTGATGCCCTATAAAAGACTAAATCATTCATACACCGATGTGAAGAGTGACATCATGAGTTTCTCCAAATTCTCAGGTTGTACAGAAAACAGCTGCGAAAGACTACAAAAGTGAAAGAGATGGGGGGGGGGGGGAGGGGACATTGTAACATAATGGCAAATTGGAATTCTGAACGGCAATGCTCTCCAATTTTGATAGGTGGTACTTTTTGCGGCAGGGCTGAATGACAGTTGCGAAGCTGACGGGGATCAGTATTTTAGTAACACCTTCAACTGGCGAGGTCTGGACTCAATCTTTGGGCTGCAAGTGGAAAGAAAAAGAAGAAGAAAAAGAAAAGCAGGTGTTGTCGCCACTCGTCTGTTCTGTAAATGTTTCAGGACAGCCTCTTGAATGATTCTCGTTTTGACCTTACCTTGTCTGTTTATTTATTTATTTTCCTCTGAGTCACGTTGGTGCGAACGCGCACGTGGAGATGCTCCAGCCTACAGCCATGTCGTCTGTTCCGTTATTACGCGTGTCCATGCTATTGTTCTACTGACACTGATAATTCTCTCTTTCTGTCTAATCGCGTTCCACTCTGCTTCTCCGTCTCTCTTCTATTCTGTTTCCGCTTCGAACGTGTAGTTGTTTGAGCTGCTCTCATGATAATAATTTGTACTTTTGAAACCCGTTGTACCCATGATCATGCGCTTGTACAACTGCGCTGTGCTGTATGACTGAGCTATGACTATGACTATGAGTCATGCTCGCACTATGATGCCTTTTGTGTCACGTGTACGTGTATGTCGTGGCGCAAGCGCGCTGTGCCTTTGCTGGCCCCTTTTTGCTTCCTTTTGCAGTTTTGGTTTTAGAGTTATGCCGGTTATGGTTGAAGTGTGTTTTCAAGGAGAAATCTAGAATGTTTGGTAATGGTGTGTTGTCCCATTTGCGTTCGGAGAGTATACCTGTGCACGTGTATCGGATTTGAATTCTTGCCTGTAACAGCAGGGCATAAATAAAATAATGAAATGAATGAATTTGAATAGTTTGCAGGCAACCTGCCTACACTCAAGGGAGCACTGCATTTCACACAAATCCATTAGATGTATCGTTTCAACGTTTCGGTCTTCATGACCATCTTCACTTCTTCAGTGTAGGCAGGTTGCCTGCAAACTATTCAAGCGTAATGAAGCTGCGTGAAGGGTCCTTAACAAAATTTTGAAATGAATGAATGCCTAAACAATCATGGGTTTCCAGTGCACAAAAAACTCTCTCTCTCTCTATCTATATCTATCTATCTATATCTCTCTCTCTCTCTCTCTCTCTCTCTCTCTCTCTCTCTCTCTCTCTCTCTCTCTCTCTCTCTCTCTCTCTCTCTCTCTCTCTCTCTCTCTCTCTCTCTCTCTCTCTCTCTCTCTCTCTCTCTCTCTCTCTCTCTCTCTCTCTCTCTCTCTCTCTCTCTCTCTCTCTCTCTCTCTCTCTCTCTCTCTCTCTCTCTCTCTCTCTCTCTCTCTCCGGTCCTTTTCAATATTTGTTTCCAGCTTCTGCTGGACTCACTTGCAGCCCCTGAATTAAGTTGCCTCTCTATGATTTTAAATCTGCCCCTTTGCAAGTGTCCCAAACAGCTTCAAGTTACTGATGACTTAGGCCTCTATAGCAAATCTAGTGCAGGTTGTCAAAAACTCATTGTGGTCACGGAGGACTTTCTCTCGTGGACCCAATGTATGCAGGCGGCGCCGCACAAATGCAAAAGCAGTGCAGCAAAGCTTGTAGATGGCCGGTACAAACCTTACGATCCCTGCCTGACGATGTCAGGGAGGAAGATCGCTTTCATTGACACTGCAGAGTTCAAGTTCCTGGGGCGAAGGCTGCATGCTGATTGCTCTGAGCAGACCCAGCGGGAAGACATTCGTCAACTCACTGTATCTCTCATGCAAAAAGTAGATGGCTCTTGGCTTCAAGACCACCACAAGCTATGGCTTTACCACCATCTTGTAGTGCCCAAGCTTTCTTGGTCTTTCCAGGTTCTTGAACTCACACAAGGTTTTGTACGTGAACTGTACTTTATGTGTTTACCATTTCTGAAGAAATGGTCAGGCCTACCTCGATGCGCAAACTCTGCCATTCTTTTTATTGGCAGTCGCAAACGCTTTGGCTTACGCCTCCACTACCTTCCTACGGTGTGGAAATATTGCCAGTCCATCAAATGGCACATTCTTCGCTCGAGTGGGGACGCGCGCATGAGGGCGCTGTACACTCTGCGTCGGAGTGAGGATGCGAAGCTGACAAAGCGATATGCGGCGACAATAGAGCTGGAGTGTGCAGAGGCATCAGTAGGTTCAGGGACTCTCCGTCCACCGTCATCTTCAAGTCATCGTGCAGGGTTGGGTGCTCGTGCTCCGAAGCAGCATTCCAAACCCTCGAGGAAGGATCTCCTTCAAACATTTGAGGAGATCAACGCGCAGGAGCAGATTTTGAGGCTGAAGACTCTTCAGGTACAAGGCAAGTGGTTGGAGTGGACATCGGTGATGTGGCAGGACCTCTCGTGGAAATCCCTTTTGTACGGTGGTACTGGTAAGGATTTGAAATTTCTTCTCGCATCAACCCTCGACGTGCTACCTTCTCCGACGAACCTACGCCGTTGGGGAAACACCGTAGTGGATCCGTACTGTAGTTTGTGCCGTGCCTGGGCCTGTACTACGCGCCACGTGCTTGGCGCTTGTCGCGTAGCGCTGGACCAGGGACGTTACACCTGGAGGCACGACAACGTACTCGGGGTCATCGTCAGGAACATGCGTGAGGAGATACGAATCAGCACTGCTGCAAACACCGTACAAACCGAAAATTCAAATGAGCTTGACTTCATCTCGTTTCGCAAGGCGGAAGAGAAGCCAGTTCGCGTTCAGCCCAGACGGAAGTTGGTTACGACTGATCTCCTGTCAGCGGCCTCAGACTGGAAATTTCTTGTCGACTCAGTTAGTGCAAAGATTTCTTTCCCTAGCTGTGTTGCACTTACCAACCTAAGACCAGATATAGTTCTGTACTCTACGAGTCGTAGGATTGTATTCTGGATGGAGTTGACAGTTTGTGCTGAGGACAGATTCAGTGTCAGTAACTCGCGGAAGGACAGGCGGTATGCGGATCTGGCCGATCAATGCCGAGCAAACGGGTGGCCAGTCGTTTCTTTTTCGGTTGAGGTAGGTGTGCGTGGTTTCATCCCAGACTCTCTTCGGAGGGCTCTGAAAGCGCTTGGGTTTTCTAATCGAAAAATAAAATTTATTTGTAATTTGTGCAGTAAGACGTCTCTGCGAAGCAGCTACATCATCTGGTTGCGACGTCAACACTGGTCGGAAGATCCACTTTTCTGAGGTACTGTATGTGGGGCTCCGTTTATTGAGGTGCGTTGAAATTTATTCTCTTTATCTTATTATTTCTTTTCTATAATTTCCCCATATGAGTTCCTATCAGTTGCTGTGAACACCTTGAGTGGAGAGCGCTTGCTCGAGCGTTGAACCGTGTTCTTAATCCACCATACCCAGTTCGCAAGGCTGCGCTGGGTTGTGAGCAGGCTTTCATTTCATATTTTCTTATTATTTCTGCTTTTCATCTCATTACAAAAATTCTGCGCATTTTTTCTCCATCTGCGCATAAAATCTAGACTGACAACCTGCTTGTTAAATCATGCACCTGCTTTCAGGCGTAAAAACCCTGTTGTAGAGGTCTCAGTCCTCATTTGTTAGACTTACTTGTCTTTATAAATGTAAATTACTCTCTCTCTCTCTCTCTCTCTCTCTCTCTCTCTCACACACACACAAACACACACACACACACAAACAAACGTGACACACACACACACACAGATATACACACACACACACACACACAGATATACACCGGCAGACTTCCTACACTTTAGAATACACTAGAGGACTGTTTTTAGGAGCACTACAATCTGCATTTTCAAAAGCAGCTAGGATTACCGATTAGCTCTTTCCCAAAGATGCTCGCCACGTTTTTCACAACAATTCGTTGTTTAGGAAGAAATAGCAACTTTTGCAACTTTCTTCATGTTCGCGAACTATTCCGCAACTTTTCCGCAACCTTGGCTCCATGGCATAGGGTCAAAAGGTCAAGTCACAGACTACATGTCGGACAAATGCATACTCGCTCATTTCTCGCCTGCCTTCAGACTCATTTCAGAGAAACAGTAGATCAACGGTAGTTACGATAATGTGCATTCCCTTTTCCGTGCACTGGAACGGCTACTGGCACTGTGCAAAGTTGTGGTTCACAGCAGGAAGGGGTGCACAAGTTTGCTGTCGCTCCACTTCTGCTATTCTTGCTCCTTTTTTTGGCAGTGTTGCGGTACAAGAACTCTTCAATTTCAAGTTGGTATGTTAGCAACTTTTGAGCTTTTTCTGAAAGCATGGATGCGATTACCGTATTTTTCGGAGTATAGTGCGCACCTTTGTATAACGCGCACCCCAATCTTCATTGGGGGTGCGCACTTCAATCTTCATTTGAAGTACATGCATTTCATATTCGGAGCATAGTGCGCACCTGCAATTTAGGGCCTAAAATAGCACATCTAAAGTGCGCACTATACTCTGGAAAATACGGTAGTTAGTGGACGCAACCAGATACATGTACTGTGTGCCTTAGGGCGCGCTCACACTGCGACCATGAGCATGCGTCCATGCGTCAGCAAAACGCAGAAACGTGGCAGTCGTGCTCACACTAGGCCTCGTACACGCGTAGACGTGAAGTTGTCACACAAACTTTACGAATTGCAGTTCGTATCCAAAATAGTTCGTGCGTTTCCTAATAAAGTTTTGGCCCGTTTTGGATGTAAATTTCGCATGTTGCAATTAAATGTCCAAATATCAAGGATGACATCGAAAACCGCCGAGTTTCATGAATCAACCAACCAGAATTTGAGAAATAATTTACCATACTTCAGGCCAGGTTGTACAGGAATACGCTTCACGTCTACGATCATGTTGCCGCCAAGTCGTGGCACCCCCCTCTGGAGGTCGCGGTAACGATTTGAAACATGGCCGCGACGTTTTGATCAAGCGTATGCCGTATGGCCGCATGGACGCTGGTTTTGGTCGCAGTGTGAGCGCGCCTAAACCAGATACATGATTGTACTGTGTGCCTGGCCAGATGCATGCACTGTGTGCCTAACCAGTGAATAGTATACAACAAAACGGCGAAGACTGACTCACATCAGCAACTGCTATACTGAACTTACCGCCACAGCCCAGTCCGTACGGAGACTTGCATATACACGTGTTGCCGTATACACACTCCTCACCATTTCTGCAGGGTGGGTAGCACACTGAACCAACTAATACACACACACACACACACACACACACACACACACACACACACACATACACACACACACATACACACACACACATACACACACACATACACACACACACACATACACACACACACACACAAACGTACACATGGAGGTGCAGCTCCGGAGTTAGAGCCCATTCTGGTAACTAACAATCCAGTTTAGTAGCAGTGGTGAGGCTTCCTGTAGCTTCATTCATAGGAAAAACAGGTTCCAGAGTAGACGCGCTCTCTTCCCATTCCAGGCATTCACTCTGCAAACTCAAACTCGTTTCTCGATCAATTATTACGTTTCGACAATCCAGATGATAGGAAAGTGTTTGCTCACCACATTGCTCCCCACATTGTTCCCCACAATTGCCCATTTCGCTAGCAATGGTACATTGCGATGGGAATTGGGAGTTGTGTGAGGAGCGTCAGCTTCGATATATCAGTGTATTGCCTATGACGTCAGTCATTTCCTTCAACCCAGACCGGTCTTCAAAGTGCAAAAAATAAACTCCAGGCCCAACCCAGGATCATCGCCTGTTATTGAAGCGAAACCCTATGATCATTATGACAAGAGAAAGGGAAGGGCCGGGTGGGACACTGTAATATCTCGCTTCCGCTCCTCACACAACTCCCACTTCCCGTCGCAATGTACCATTGCTAGAGAAATGGGCAATTGCGTATCGGAGCGTCAGCTTGGATATAACAGTGTATTGTTAAAAGCGCTGAACAAACCCCAGCACTATAAATCCAGACCATCAATGAGGAGCAAAGGTGACCATGCGCCACACCGGAGTGAAGCGGGACAATATTATCAGAGCCATGATATATGAAAGCAAATAGCAAGCCATAGCCCAAACACTAATGTACTCCGACGTGGGTGAGCGGGCTCCCCACGTCCCAATTTGGTCCTTCTGCTTTCCTGCTGACTGGCTGCGCATATTCCGGTATTACCTCAGTGCAGGGCTGGCGGAACAGGTCAGGCTGGTCCGGCCATGGCCGGACCACTTTCCCAGCTGGATGGTCCATGTGATTCGTGCAAAACCGGCGCAAAAAAATCCAGAGGTACATGACTCGACTGTACTGCCGACGTGTGATGTGCTTCTAAGTAGCTCAGGACTCCGTGACCGGCACTGCATGGCTTAAATGATATGGATAAAAAAAGTTGTGTTTGTGTTCTTTTACTATAATTTTCTGCATTTTCTGGAGCCTTAAAAGATGCCCAAAATCGTTCTATTTCACGTAAATTTTAAATATTTCTCCCGGGGGAGGTCCCCCGCACCCCCCTCAACTGTTGGCCGGACCACTCACAAACTCCTTCCTCCGGCCCTGCAGTGTTCTAGTATTTCCTGGAATTACCTCATACCATTGTAGGCAATGGTCACGCCACATCTCTGAAACGCCTTATAAAAGAAGCTCTCATTCTCTCTTTTACTTCAGTCGAGACTCAGTCTCAGCTCTCTGTCTTGGTTTACTTTGAGCTCGGATTTGAATACTACTCCCAACGTGAAACTAACAACCCTTGCCTGTTGATCGTGTGGGGTTGACCTTTGACCAAGCCGACTATACTGGTTGGCCCCTGGGTTGTGTTGGGCTTGTCGTGAGGCCACACGTCTATTCAGTCGCCGCTCGTAGTGAATTCTGGGTCCGGTCACTGAGCGCGGGGATGCGACAAATACACTGCAATGCCTCCAAGAAAGATTATGGATTAGTTAGACATGCCATGACAGTCAACTCGTCGATAGTTCTTACTTTGACAATAGCTACCGCTAAATCCACTCCTGCAGTTGCATGTTCCATAGCTTGTACACGTACCACCATTCCTACAGGCCGGGGAGCAGGTCCGGGCTAGAGACATACACAATAGGACCATAACAACATGTACACAGCTGTGAAGAGATGGCAAGTTTTTTGCGTTTATTATACTGAAGCAAATGTGCAGATACGATGGATTAGAACTCTTGGCCAAACCATTTAGCTATACGTGTATATATAATATTAGATCAATGTGTCACGTCCCTGGACGTAACGACTGCTGCCTGATAGTCATAGCCCAAATTTGCTAGCAATTCTTTGAGCAAAATATCGGATGCGCAAGTTTCCGGCAAGTTTTGAGCAAAATATCGAGTTTTGGTTGGCTTTTCGAAAAATCCAACGCTTCTTAGGGACTTCCTCAACACAATCAGTCACCAAGGTTGAAAACAAGCACAAAGGTTGTAGAAAACAGACTCATGGCTACATTTCAGTGGAAAGTTGAGCAGCAGCAGGAGCTCAATCAAAAATATCGTCGTCATCAGCGACAGTTATCGTTGAGTTTTCCCTAAAATTCATTTCATCTCGAGCAAAACCAAAGCAAAATGCCGACGGAGAAAGGAAATGCCAAGCAGAATATCGAAAATTTTGTGGCAAAATTGTGCGGCAAAATATCGATGTAGGCCGAGCAAATTTGGGCCATGACTACTGCCTGATAGTTGTGTGACAGCACAATCTACATAGTGAGCAGATCTGTGCTGAGCTGTCACGCCCTTTTGACACAACGCGGTTTCGCCAGTGTCTTGTCACACGTGCTTAGCATGTCGGTTGAGCGACACGCGCTTTCCCACGTAGGTGACATGCCTTCTTGGCATGACACATCATGTGATCCAAGGCCGGAACCTGGTCAGGTAGGTTCTCGCGTTGTATGTTTCCTGGAAGTGTTACATTTCCTGGAAATGTGACTCCAGGCTTTATGCAAAACCCCACGTCACTACGACGTTCTACAGGTTTCCACAATGCCTCGGTGCTTTGTGCAAAGAGCCAAGACTAACCGATCGAAGTGCAAAGAGTGCAGAGCCAAGACGTGTGCAAGAACCAAAACCATTACCGCGCCAGGTCAAGGGTATCACGCATGCAGAGCGAAGAACACCGCAGAACGTACCCATAAGAAGCCGCTGAGCAATGGCACGTTGGGTGAGCGGGCTCCCCAATGTGACTCTCATATACGCACATTGTACTCTGACGTGGGTGAGCGGGCTCCCCACGTCCCAATTTGGTCCTTCTGCTTTCCTGCTGACTGGCTGCGCATATTCCGGTTTTACCTCAGTGTTCTAGTATTTCCTGGAATAACCTCATACCATTGTAGGCAATGGTCACGCCACATCTCTGAAACGCCTTATAAAAGAAGCTCTCATTCTCTCTTTCACTTCAGTCGAGACTCGGTCTCAGCTCTCTGTCTTGGTTTACTTTGAGCTCGGATTTGAATACTATTCCCAACGTGAAACTAACAACCCTTGCCTGTTGATCGTGTGGGGTTGAACTTTGACCAAGCGGACTATACTGGTTGGCCCCTGGGTTGTGTTGGGCTTGTCGTGAGGCCACACGTCTATCCAGTCGCCGCTCGTAGTGAATTCTGGGTCCGGTCACTGAGCGCGGGGATGCGACAAATACACTGCAATGCCTCCAAGAAAGATTATGGATTAGTTAGACATGCCATGACAGTCAACTCGTCGATAGTTCTTACTTTGACAATAGCTACCGCTAAATCCACTCCTGCAGTTGCATGTTCCATAGCTTGTACACGTACCACCATTCCTACAGGCCGGGGAGCAGGTCCGGGCTAGAGACATACACAATAGGACCATAACAACATGTACACAGCTGTGAAGAGATGGCACGTTTTTTGCGTTTATTATACTGAAGCAAATGTGCAGATACGATGGATTAGAACTCTTGGCCAAACCATTCAGCTATAAGACGTATATTATTATATCAATGCGCTGCAATGCCTCCGAGAAAGATTAAGAACTAGTTAGACATGCCATGACAGTCAACATGTCGCTAGTTCTTACTTTGACAATATGTGCCAGTGTATCCACTCCTGCAATTACATGTTCCATACGATGTACATGTACCACCATATCTACAGGCGGGGGAGCAGGTACGGGCTACACACATGCACACACACACACACACACACACACACACACACACACACACACACACACACACACACACACACACACACACACACACACACACGAACGCACACACACACACACACACACACACACACACAGAACAATACCATATTATTTTAAAGAACTACACAATGATGTATTGGGTACGCGGCGGATGTAGCACCGTCATTATGCATACGGCTATAGTACTTGTGGATGTTGTACAGTCCTTGTTTTCTTGTTTTTTTTTTACTATTCACCAGTAACACAGCCCTACTGGAAAACATGTGGAGAACAAAAAGAAAGAAGGGAAATGACCAAGTACAGGGGAGGTGGGGATGGTGTGCCCATGTGCTGGGAGCAACTGAGCCGACCAGATGTGTGATGTCGTATACACAAAGACAATGCCTTAGGGTGGCTATACTTGCACCGTAGTTTCCTCACTCTGCTCTTCTCTATTTTAAGTCTTCCTATGTCGGCCCAGCAGTTGGCTGATGATCATGGTTAGCATGAAACCGTTTCTCGTTCTCATTCTACTGTATGCAAGGATTCTGACAGCTTGACATTGTTTTAAATGCAGTAGTTAGTCGCGTCAGTGGCACCAGTGATATGACACTGTATACAGACCAGACCATCACTTCTAGAATGACTGTTGATAAGGATTCACAATAGGGCTTTGTATGCTTGTTCTTACTTTGACAATAGCTACCGGTATATCCACTCCTGCAGTTGCATGTTCCATAGCTTGTGCATAAACCACCATTCCTACAGGCCGGGGAGCAGGTCCGGGCTAGAGACATACACAATAAGACCATAACAGCATGTACACAGCTGTGAAGAGATGGCACGTTTTCTTTCAAGTCCGCTATACAGTTTTAGAGAGGACCATAAGTTTACAAGTTATCTGTTCATGCCGCTAAGCATCAGGTCGTTGAATGTCAGTATCACATGA